TCTCTCTTTCTCTCTCTCTCTCTCTTTCTCCTGGGACAATATATTGATGCCTTTTGACTGTTTCCTACAGCTGACAAGTTTGTTATGGAGTAGTGGGAGGTGTTGGTCTATGAGGGATGGGACAGTAGATATTTTAGGAACCATTTTGAACCCAGGATCTGTTTTATTATTGCCTGGAATTATGAGGAGTCAATTTGGTCACCTGGGTGGTCTTTTAATTTGATGGGACCTTTTCTGAGACACTCTCCAAGCTGGGAAAACAATACATCTTAGTGTGGTATCTGTGGAAATGAAATAAATCTGTTCCATATTGCACAGTAGAACAAATCTGGATCAAGGACAGTTACCATAGTTAACTTCAGCTGTGTGGTGCATGGTAGGCACTTTCAGGGTCGAGCCCTCTGGCGTTGTAAAAGGCAACATCTGGGAATCCATGAAGGAAAACTTCTTTTGCCACGTGCTTCTGAAGTACAGGGTGCTCACCAGGGTGACCTGGCTGAGCGATGACCCAGCACTCTCCGGTGTCATCCCATGCATATCCCCATCTGCACAGAAAAGAGACAAGGCAGGGGGACACATGCAGTCCTACATGCCCAGGTCTGTGTGACTAAATAAAGCAAGCTGAAACCACTCTCCATCCCTAAGGCCAAGAGGCACAACTCACAAGGCCCTGCTCACCCTCTACCTTCCCCTCCACACCTACACATGCACCTCCCTGGGGCTGCCTGTTGGTGCACGCTCTCCCCAGAGCTGAGATTGAGCTGGCCAGTGCTTTTATTCCCCATTAGATTTTTTAAACTCAGAATCTCACTGCTCAGCTTACACCCCTGTATGTCCCCTGTAGCACCCTGAAAGCCTTCAGTGCCATGAATATGGTCCAAGGGGAATTTGGCTGTTCCTAATTAAAACTGAGAACACTGCAAATTACTGCCTTTTTAAAAATTAAGGGAACAAGAAAAAGTGGTAAGCAGCTTGACACTGCTTATAGATTCAGACCTATTCCAGCTCTTTCTTCACATTACAGATGAGCGTTAACACAAGAATTAGGTTTCCTGCCTTTCAGCCTTGGTTTGGGCAACATGGAGTGTGGCAAAAATCTTTATGCTTGGTTAAAATCTACTTCTCCCATTACTCTTATTTTACATTTCACGGGTGTGCAACCATTTCTGTGCGTCCCTATGGTACCTGCAAGGTCAGTGGTGATCCACTCCTGTGTGTGGGTGGTGTTGGGGTCGGTGAGGTTGGTTTGGAGCAGGCTGCTGTTGGCCCAGCGCGCGGCACGCTTGGCGAAGTCGGGCGAGAGCTGCACGCCTGCATCCACAAGGAGGGAACATCCCAGCTGGACCACTGTGCCTTGGCTGGAGTCAGTCTCTGCTTCATCCACCGTGTGCATGAAATCCTGCACACTTTGATCTGCCAGGCAAGAGAGAAACTGTAATTGTGCTGAGGCTAAGGACAGCAGGGATTGCCCCAGAGCTCTGCAGCTCTCAGCTCCTGTGCTGACACCGGTGTCCTCTGACTCTTAAAGCCCCATAACAACTGGATCACCCTTGACTTTGTGGAGCACTCCTGTCAAGCACTGCTGCAACAGGCAGTGATGCACTGGACATTGGAAAGCTCTCTTCATGTGTCTATAGAAATCACCAGTGTGGATGTGCCAAGTGGCAGATCTTATGCCAGGCTCACAGTTGTATGCAGACACAGTTCCTAAGATAGTTATTCTTTCTTGGTCACTCTCTGAGTTCCCACCATTGAGGTCTAGTGCCTCTGGCCATGACTGGCTGAGCTGCCAATGCCACAACTCTGCTATCTCATTCTCCTGACGTTATCCACCTATCCTGCGCGAGGGCGTACGTGGCCCTAGGTCTGGCTAGCTCGAGGGGTGTGAAGGCCAACGCCCCAGTGCATCCAAAGCCAGCCCCCTTTGGCGTCTTGGCCTCAGGCTGGGCTGGATGTAGAGCTCGGAGTGGCGCAATGCGAGACGAAGAAGGAGGCAACCGCTTGCTAGGGGTGAACCGTCGGTTTATTAGATGGTCTGGAGGCACCAACGAGGATGGGCACCAGCCAGCAAAATGGCCCCGAACAGTGGGAGAAACAGGATTTTAAAGGGAAGAGGAGGAGAAAGGAGGGGAGCCCAGCTAACCAATGGGGAAACTCAAAGGGAGGTACTAAACATAACTGACATACATAAGTAACCAATAAATACAAAGTAAGGGAGGGTCCCCGGGACCACAGCCAATCACCATCCCCAGAGAGAAGAAGGTTCTTGAATGCTGGGAGGAGAGGGGGGTGATTGACTGGGCCCAGGGAGGAGAAAACATTTACTTATAAGGGAGAATAGGGGAGGAGGAATTATATAACATAGCTGATTGAAAGCAGGGGTTGCTACGGAAACCAACTGCCAGAGGAGCAGTGGCGGGAAAACTGGGGAGGGAGGAACCATTTACAAAGAACAGGGGGATACAATACATAAAATGGGGGAGCAAACTGAGAAACTTAAAAACACACTACAACACTATCCCAGGAAAAGCATTTCTCTGATGGCACTTCTGCCACCCTTGGCCCTTAGATGTTGTTTGATTTCTTGAAGGATGGTGTCCCAAACTGCCCCAGTATTGCTGATGAGCCCTGGCTAAACTGAGCTGATAAGTTTCTTCATGTGTTAAAAGTGACTCCTTTATTTATACAGCCCACAACAGTGGGCTTTTTCTTTTTCAAAGAAAACATAGTCTGAGTTGTAAAGTTCTTGTGTGTCTTGCATTAGTATGGGAGCACTTGGTGAGCTCTCTGAAAGATGTGAAAAGTCAAAGATGGTAAATTAGAGGCAGAGATGAGTGTGAGGAGTGGTATCCCAAGCTTGTGACTTCACCACGGTGCTTAGCTAACCAGAGTTGTGAATTCTAGCTTGGACAACAGCTCAAAATTGCTTTAATTAAACAGCAAAGGGAAATAATTTTAAAGCATGTCATTTTGTCTATGCTATCTAGAGATACATGCCATTATACATTGTTTTTGTTAGTACTAGAATAAAGGTGAACAAATTTTCCAAACATTGAGAGAAGTTTACAAGTGCATCTAGGAGCAGATTCTCTGTGAGCAGTGATGTTTTCACCATCGATGTTTTCATTGTTTTCAGCCTGCTAAGGTTTTAACCATACCCTTCATAATTGGTTAGGGCAGACCAACATAAACATTAATGCAAACATCTACTGGAAGAAAGGAATTTTTTCATATATGCATGCATTCACAATTTGTGTTTATTCACCTTATAGAAAATTTCATCTAAGCATTTTATTTATTTATTTGATTTAGACCATTTGAGGAAGTGTTTCCTTCCCTGTTACTGGAAATACACTGTATACCAATAACAATAGATCCCATCCTACTTTATTTTCACATTCATGCATTAGCATTGCTGAAAGCCAAAGCTTATGTGGTTTATACCAAGACAGCTAAAATGGAGATAAAATGTCTGCTTGCCATGATGTGCCACATGAGAAGGAGAGAGCATAAAAGAGCTAGCAGGTCATTAACAGCCCCTGCACTTCTCTGTTAAATTTTCTGTGAAGATCTGTGCTTGGATTTCACTTTGAAATGTTATTCTGTAAGGTCCTTTCATAATAACTGATTCCGTAATGACCAGAAGTGTCAAGCAAGGTATAATCCTTGTATGCATTAATGTTGTTTAGGATTTGAATTTACAGAAATAGGAGTCAGTAGGCAAGACTTTGTTATATCAGCTGCTCATAATTTAGATGCACTGTCCCTGTGTCAGTACATGCAGCTGTGTCTGTATGGATCAGCCAGAGTTAGCTGTCACTGCTGTGCTGGGGTTGAATACCAATGCTGCTCAGAATGGTGCTGGTGACTGAGGCAGGTTACTGAGGCACAGGACAATGAAATTGCTGTGGGTTTTAGTTTTCATGCCCTGAAGGCAAGTTTTATGCTGAGAAATAGCAGTGTTATCTCTATACATAAGTATTGTATGTAAGCTGCAAATTTTGAAGATGAGGCAGTCGTCTGCTTTTCATAAACATTCTGCCCATAATGTAAAATAGTTTTTGACATGTGATTTGAGATGGTAGGATAATCCAGAGCTAAAATGAAAACAGCATCCTTAAATTCAGCTGACTTAATGCTGGATTTAAAGACATCTGTCTTTCCCATATCCCTTCCAAATTCCCAGTGAGTTTTATATTTTAGCCTGCTTTCAGGGAAAGATGCAATTGCACCATCCATCTGTCAACGTATATCTCAGTCTGCCAGTCTCCTTCTGATAACTTTTCATCTTTTTGGCCAGTTGTAATAGCATTAGAAAAGTCTTAAATATAATTCAGCTTCTACAGATTTCATAATTTTTTTAGTGGGAGAGGAGAGAAAACCACTGTTCTCTGCCTGGCAGTTCTTTGCAGAGCACACAAAGGAGACCAGGACAGAGTGGACACAATGGACCTCTGGCAAGCCTGGAGTAATTCTGCTGTTCAGAGAAATAGCTTTTCTAAATGCAGCTGTATTTTGTGTCATAAGAGAGTAAGTACTGATTCAGAAAAAAGAGGAATAATAACCTGTTTGTCAACTACTCCCTTGAGTTTTCCTTTGTCCATCTGATACCTGGCTGTCAAAGACAGAGAAAACTACATCTTGCAGTGAGAGAGAAAGCAGAAGTTAAATACGATGTGTGCAATTCCTGTCACCTTCATAAAGTTGTGAATTTATTACAAAAAGTAAGACAATAAGGATTTTTTAAAGTACATTACCATGAATGCTGTATCCTAGGACATCTTGCAACTCTGTAAAGGTATTTCCTTGAGCTCCAAACTGCAGCAGCTCCAAAGAAACAGCCACACTTGCTGGAGAGACAACCAGATTGGTCCTGTTCTCTGCTTCAGACACCTGCCGGTAGAGACTGATGGCAAATTCAGTCTTCAGCTCTCTCAGCTCATCATAGGAGGTGCAGTTCCCTTTGGCTGTGCAGCAAGCAGACAGGATGAATGCAGAGAATAAAATGGGCAACATGAAGATGAGCTGGGAGCAGTCTCCACCAGCTAATACCTGCAATTAATGACATGGATATATTTAGAAAAGCAATAGGCTGAGCTGGCAGAGGAACTTTCCATCAGTGCTGAGATGTCACTTGCAATAGTAATGATAACTGTTAAAATACTTGTCCAGGTCTACTCAGTAGCTACTGACATTAAAAAAATAAAAAAGAAAAGAAAATACATATGTACGGACATGTTGATGACTGTGTTGACTAACAAGAACTGAATTTTCCAGAATGCTGTAGCATGTAATATGGTATTCCATTACACAGCATAGAAGCACACAGTCTCTTGGTTAAAAATTAGCTACCTGCACCCATGATGGGACACCTCAGTGCAATCTCCATGCTGCTGAGCTCCTTTCTGTCCCCAGCAGAAGGGGGATCACACCCAGCACTCCCAGAAGGAAGGCCACCCCTTGTGAAGTGCAAAAATCTAATTGGAGCCTCCAGGCTGGGCTTTGGATCCAAGTTTGCAAAAGGCTGGCTTCAAATTTCCCCCCCAGATATTTCTTCTGTGAAATTTATGCCAGTGAGAGAAAAGGTGGCATTTGCAAAAGGCTCCAGTGCTTGCAGCACAAAATCATCACATCAGATTTTTATGGGAAATCAAGCGCTGGTCAACGTTCTATTAAGAGACACTTAGATTCATATTTAAAGGAATAATGTTAAAATGAGAGAATAGCTTTTCTTACAGAATTCCATATTTGAAGATTGTATGCAAGTGTATTTTAAAAATTACTGCACCTTCTTTCACCTCAGGATTTCCTACAAATCTTTCTCCATGCCCTTTGCTCTAGAGAGCACCTCTAATGCTTTGTATTTACTCACAGTTAGCTCTGTTAGTCTTGCCTTTCTGTGTCCTTCTGGGTGCCTGAATGGAAGCTGCCTATGAAGGTCCTGTCTCCTTCTTTAATAGGTAGTGGAGCAAGGACTAAGTCATGAGACTGCATTTAAAGGGATAGTCAGTGATCAGAGTCTCTGTCGGCGATGTCTGTACCACTCTGTCCAAATTCCTGTAGGCTACAAGCTCTATGGAGAGCCAGGCAAAGCAGCATGCCACTGACCAGCAAATCCAAGGCAAGGAACAAAAAGGTACACATGGACATAGCGTCAGCAACTTCCTTGCAAGCCCTGCTCGAGCCTCATGCGGCTTGTGACCTGCTGGTACTGAGCAAGGCATCTCCTATCTCTCTTCCCACCCCCCTCCTCCTTTTATATGAATTCCATTGATTCCTCTGCCACAAAGGGGAAGAGAAAGGGCTCTCTGTGTACCAGGCACACAGCTAATTTTTTTACCCCCACTTTGAAACCTTATTCAGAAATCCCGTGCAATTAAAATGTCTTTATTTCCCTTTGTTTTTAATTAATGCTATCTGAAATAGCAAGATTTTCTTTCACTCTTTAGTTTCCAGAAGGAAAGAAACAACAAAGTGCTGCACCTGAAGGAGAGCAAATAAGGAAGGGGCCCCTTTGAATGGACCAGAAGCAGAAGAGCTTTGGTTGTGACTGCTTTAAAAGCAGTTGCAGTTGTTCATGGCTTTCTTTGCGTGCTGAGATCAAATCAGGCTCATCATATTCACAGATTCAGCCTCACAGCCTCACAATGCCACCTAAGACAAGCAAGATTTGATCTAAAAATTAATGAACAACTGCAGATCTTCAGAGTTTGATGTTGTACAGTTGGCCATTTCACAATACACATTCTTGTTGCAAGTGGGAAAGAAGACATTGGGAAAAGGGCATTGCAATCAAGCAATAATTCAGGTGCTACTGCTTCACTCTTAGCAGGGAAGGAGCAGCCACACAATGGAATCACAGCCCAAGTGAGAATGAAGCAGTGGGCCTCTCTCTCTGCTGTTTGGAGAATGTGCCAGAATAGATGCAGACACTGGGATCTGTTTCAGGATCCTGGGATTTAGAGCACATTCCTGCAAGGACTGGTGAGATGCAACAGCTTGATCAGTCACAGTCTAATACAACAGGCAGAAATGTAATTTTGCCACAGATTTCAATATAGCAGTACCTTCAGGCTGTAAATTACATTTGGGCTTAGGGGTTTGGCTGAATGAGGACCTCTCTGCTGAAGTTATCATTAACAGTTTCCACTGGAGTGGAGATGTATTCAGAGGGAATGAAACAGAGGCCACCAAGTGATTTCTCAAAGGGCTCAAAGCTGTCAATAGATAAATTAGCTCTGGTCACTGGTGAGGACTGTACACTGGATTTGATGTGGTGTTCCCAGAGGCTCTGGACCTGAAAAAGACATTTCTTTGCCCTTCTTGATACTCCTCTGTGGATTTATTAAGATTTAAATGAAAGCTGGGGAACCCCTGAAGGTTTTAGGCATTACTGCCTAAAAATAACATTCAGTTCCCACTTTGCAAAAATGTTGCTATTCAGATTTGGGGTATGTATGTATTTATGGAAGACATAGTTGAAAACTAGACCTGGTAAAAATGTGGTGTAAGACAGCATAGTTTCAGTGGGAAAGGGAAAAAAGTGTTCTGGGTCTTGTCTCATCACAAAGGAGACTTAGAAATGGGAGTGTTTGTTTCAAATCTTTCCTCTCTGCAACTGTTTTAGGAAAGGAAAGATGTGGAGGACTCTTTGCAGCAAGAACAGTATTTACAGACAAGCAGAGAGGACTTAAGAAAACTAAAACTGGATCAACATTGTTCAAAGCAACCATGGGGAATAAGAAATGTGCTTTACATATGACAAATAGAAAAGAAATCCACTGGTGAATGATGAAAAAGTTAGGAGGCAGTGGAGTAAGAAAGAAGTAAGAGTCAGTGAAATTAGCTGTGGCTAAAAAATAAGTGTAGAAGCCTGGGGGAAGGTTATGAACATTTATCATAGTCAAGGTCAGAACCAAAATTCTCATGCCTGTTCAGTTTAGCAGCCTAAGTTCAAATTTCCCTGTGCCAGACTGGGATCCACAATAGAGAACTTCCTGTCCAAGGAGAAGCCAGTGCCACATCAGGGTGAGTCTGAAAACTGAGGTTGCCAAGTGAGCCCAGGCAGCCAGAAACTGAGTTCCCCAAGTTAGGAGGGGGCTGCATATTACATAGGCCAATTACAGAAATTCCCTATGAGAAATAGATGAGTCTTGGACCTACAGAAGTGTTAGAGTTGGGCTGCTGTGGAGAAAGGGAGTTTCTGTCTCCTTTAAGGACATTTGTTTAGAGCTTTCATACCTGCCTGTGTCCTAGTTTGGGCATCACAGCCTTCTTTGAGTCTTCATCTGGTTCTGCATCACAAGGTACTGAGAAAGTACTGATAAAATTTCTGGCAATATTTTTGTTTTTAAGATGCTGAAAATGCATTTTAAAAGGTATGCAATTGACTGGTCCCCAGGATAACACTTCAAAGTCAGGAAGGGGCAGAGGTGGCATCTGTATTTTGAGAAGTGCTTCTTCACATTGCAGTAACTTTGACTGACTGTGAGGGAAGTGGGGAATGACACAAACTGAGGATGTCTGGAGAAAACACAGCACAAGGAGTGTGTGGGTAGCATTCTGGAGCACTGTGACTCTGTGGAGCTCCTCTGAGCTTCCACAGGAGCAGCTGTGAGAGCTTCACAGGGAGCCCAGCCTCTCTGTTCCCCCCCTAAGCAGAGCAAACCAGCACTCTTTGAGAGGGAAGACAGCAAAGAGCTTCCTGACGTGTGAACACCTCCCCACACAGGGAGCCAAACTGGTGGATGGCACTGGAAAGAAGCCATAAGTGGTGGCTGCATTCCATGATGGATTAGATCATGTCTGTGCCTGCAGTGTGCCACTGCTGTTCCTGCACAGCCCCTCGGTGTCCCCCTGTGTGACCATGGTGGTGGGCAAGGGGACAGACTGCTGACCATGCCCAGCTGCTCAGCACTGACAGGGCCATCACAGGCAGCTCTGCAGTGTCTGGTGTGAAGAATGTGCAGAAGTGGAAAAGAAGGATGAGGGAAAAAGAAACAGAGAGAGAGCTGTCCTCCAGAATTACATCTTCAAGGTCTTCATGGTCAGATTTTGCTCTCAGGTGCAGGGGTGTAAATGCAAACCATCGGCACAAACTTGGGGTCCTTGAGCAAATGAAGAGCTGCTGGGGGGCTGTGGGCTGGGAGACTCCTCTGGGAGACAGGGTGCTCCATGACTCTGGGAAACAACTCAGGGTGGAGCCTCTGTGATGTTGGTGGTGGTGGCAACAAGGAGGAAGGTCAGGACCTTATTAGCCTGGAAGCAGCCAGAAGTCACAGGACCGAAATAAGAAACCAGAGGGAAAAGCACAGCCTACATGGGCACAATGGGCAAAGAAAGATTTCTTTGGAAACCTTTCCCCACAATCAATTTTTTCTCACAGCTGACTGGAGTTTTCTCTGATTTATCAGTGTTCTGAGAAAACTGAGCCCTAGTTTGGTGTGGCTGCTGAGAGGAAAGAGAGAGCTGCTCTGCTTTGGGTTCTGGCCAGTTTGTGCTTCTGTTGCGTGCACTTTACACAGTGATCTGGAGCAGAATTTGGCCAAGGGAAAGGCTGGAAGAGAAAAATAAGAGAGAATGTAAGAAGCAGGATTTCCTCTTCAGAACTCTCCTGTTAGTTTTTCTGTGTCAGGTCAGTCTCCTGCAGTCTTCCTTTCACTCTAGCACAACCCTGTTATCAGCAGGGCTATTGTGCATTTACCCCTTCACAAATGAGAACAGAATTTTACCTTCTATCTGCATCTGATTTTTGTATGCTAGGTCTCCTTAACACATAGAATAACCCTAGGGAAATTAAATTGGATCCAAACCAGCTTCCCTCCTGCTTACATCTCTCCTCCAGGAGCGAGCCTGCACTGCAAGATTCCAGCACATTTGCTCAATCAGGAAGGTGGTTCTGCTGAATCTCAGGATAAGAAAAACTGGCATCATCATTTCATACAGAGCTTATTCTGTGGGGAGGCAGATGGCTGTGGAGCCACAAAACACCCAGATGAGCAAATTCAAGTGAATTTGTTTACTGCTGTCCTCGTGCCATGTAAAAACCAGCACTGCCTCTGCCTCCCACTGGTGTGTGAGGACAAAATTGGCTCTTCAAAGGGTGACCACTTCAGAGGGTTGCTTCCAAAGGAGAAATCCATCTGCTCAGCAACGTGTCTCGGTTTGAGCAGATGAACTTGGTGCCAGTCTGGACCTTCTGGGGAGGTCATACAGCGTAGAGTCCCACAATAGAAATTCATTCTGCTGGAGCCCCCAGATCACTTCCCTCCTGGCCTGCTCCAGGTGGAAAGGAATGCTGTTAGTAGCAATGAAGGCTTTTTGGCAGCTCCACAGGAGGAGATAATCTCCCTGCCCATGGCTGCAGGCTGGGTAGCAGAGGAGCAGTGGCAAAGGCTGGCTATGACCAAAGTGTGCACACTTGGTTCTCAGTCCTCTTCAACCCCTGTGGATCTAAAACATAAATGTAACATTTTGGTGGGTTCATTTTCCTCTGTCTCTTAAAACTCCAAGTGGAATAACAGAGTAGAGGTTTCGCAGTATCATCTTGGGAATTGGGGTTTCCTGCCCTGAGAGATGCCCCAAGGGCACACCTGGAGGACAGGTTGGTGACAGAGGACTGTGTGGGATCCAGGCTATGCCATGGAAGCTTTTGAGCTGAGTATGGGAATAAACAAGACCTGGACTTTTCCTGGGGGCAGTTCTGAAGACAGCCAGTGACAGCAACCAAAAACTGAGCCAGGCAGTAAATTCATAAGTGGTGTAAGAAATTTGTGCTGGGGTTAAGTTCAAGTTTGCAGGGTGGGTGTTTCTAACATGTTGTGTGATGTCTTCTGCTATGGGAAGAACAGTGCCTTTCCCTGGTGTGAAGCAAAGCAAAGCAAACAGGAGCTCCACTTCCACTGGATGAGGTTAATGCCATAATCCTGATGA